TCGTCCATTATTTTCGCTGAAGTAGACGATGCAGAATCTGATCTAGATCCCTCTTATCCTCGAACCTTTTCGCTTTCGTTTCTCTAAGACAGATGAAAGTTTGACAAGGGGTTGACTGGGCAATTACTGGTATCAATCACTCTCAGGGAGAGCGGCGCTTGATGGCCTAGTTTAAAAAAACATTCTGAGTTTCCAACTTGCTATTCATATCAATAGTAACCTATCAGCAAGACGAATCAACGAAATGCCCAGGAGCTGGTCCAGTTGCGGTGCTTTGGAACTAAAGATTAGAGCTGAAGGAGGCGCCACTGACAGTTGCATTAGCCCATTCCATAATTGGACTTCAAAAAACTCAAGAAAAATCATCAATATTAAACCACCTTTTCTTTGTTCGCTGTGAACAATAAGTTGCAATAGCAGTAATATTGAGCCTGAAGTCGCTCCAGCCTAGAGTTGCGGTTTGCGTCGTAAGCTGCAGGCCAAGCTATTAGATGCTGTCAGTCAGCTGAAGAAATTGCACCCAGGCTGACTCCAGTTGTGGAAGGTGTTTTCCTTGTGTGGACGTTTAGTAGTGGGAACAAGGCCTAAAAAGGAAGTTGGTGATGCTGTGCAAGCTTGAACATACAAGCAGACTGGCGAGCTCATGCCCAGGCATGGAAATATGTTAATCTTTTTGATATTGCTGAACTATAAATCTGTATACTTTGTGACGGTGTTAAAGATGATGACAGTGGCACTGGATTGACTGTAGCAACGGTGATGACGAAAGCATCCGCTAAGAAGACGATGATGTTGGGGATGGTGGTTGCGATGACGATGGTAATAGCACAGCGCAGAGCACAGTAAAGCATTTTCAATGCAAGCAAACCGTCTTTTATGATGCCCATCTCTTCCGCCCTCCCGTAGGAAAATATCTTCGAACTGAATGCATTTTCAGGATGTACAAAAATGAAAGACGTGTTCTCTCGAATGTTTTGTTCACTATACGCATGTTTGGGAAAATTCAGCAAAGCACCTTCGGGTACTGAGCTCGAGAATGACTTACAACTGGAAGCAGCAAGGTGTCCCACAACAGGCGACAAGATATACTTTGATGCATGTAGAAGAAGCTGAAAAGCAAATTAGACGCACGGAAAACGAAAAAAAAAAAAAATTGCGCACGGGCTGCCTGTGCGAAGATGCGTTTTTTGCATAGTTTCCCGCATTCTTTGTCGCTACCGGCACGGGTTTTTTCGGCAAATGCTTCTAGCTAAACAAATTAAGACTGGCAGCCAGAACTGCCAGGAAACACTCCCTTAAAATTTCATCTTTCTAGCTTTCCTGGCTCCTGAGTTAGCAACTTACTGGAAGAAAATTTTACGGGCCCGTACGTGTGTACCACG